ATCCACGGTCTGCCGGGCTTCCAAGGGCGTATGTGACGTCGCCGAAACGTGTACGGGCTCCAGCGGTGCGTGCCCGGACGATACATTCGCGTGTGCGACCACCAAGTGCTCTGGCACGAGCACCGGCGGCGCGTGTGACATTCAAGACTACTGCGACGGCAAGGGCAGCTGCGTCGACAAGTACTCGTCGTCATCCACGGTCTGCCGGCCCTCCAAGGGCCAATGTGATGTCCCCGAAACGTGTACGGGCTCCAGCGGTGCGTGCCCGGACAATGCGTTCGCGTCGACGGCCATGACGTGCACGGGATCCTGCAACGGCAACCCATGCGACGGTGTCGACCACTGCGACGGGAATGGCAACTGTATCGACGTGTACCTCCCATCGTCGACCGTCTGCCGAAAGGCGGCGAGCGGCTGCGATATTGCCGAGACCTGTACCGGCGAGTCGGGCCAATGCCCAATGGACAAGTTTGAGCCGACGACGACGAAGTGCTCAGGGACGTGCAACGACAACCCATGCGACGCTCAGGACTACTGTGACGGCAACGGCAGTTGTGTCGACAAGTATTTGCCGTCGGGTGCCGTTTGCGGTAACACCAAGGCGGGTCCGTGTACGATCGCAGCGACGTGCACGGGCGACATGGGGTTCTGCCCGCCCGATGAATACGCCGACTCGTCGGTCACGTGCGCTGGCACGAGCCAAGGTGGTGCCTGCGACGGCAAGGACACCTGCGACGGAGAAGGAAACTGCGTCGATCGCTTCTTGGGCGGCAAAGTTGTGTGCCAGAAGCCCACCGGCTACTCGCGTCCGATCTACTGCAACGGCAAGAGCGCAACGTGCCCCGTGTCGAGCTTTTTGGAAGGCAACCTGCGCGAGATGACGGCCGACGACCCGACGCCGGTGCAGTCGATGCTCGTGGCCGTGGCGCCGTCGTCGCCCATGGTGCTCCTTGGCCTCGTCTGTGTCGTCGCTGCTGCCGTCGCCATGGTCACGATGCGCCAGCGCCGCGACGAGCTCGCGCTGGACGACGCCACGTACAAGCTCTTGGCGACGCACGAAGACGCATCGGCCGCCTTTTGAAGTCGCGGTGACGACCTTGCATACTGTACGACTACATGGTTAGCAACAATACAACTTGTACTTTTGGTTGCTAAAAAGAAGTGAAAAATCGCCTTGGAGTGCGTCAGGAGAGACGCGTGGAGGGCTTTCGACGGAATTCTCGCCGGCGCGCAACGCTACGCAGACAGTAACTGCCTCAACAACGGTTGGCACACACATGGGCAGTGACGTCTTGGTCCGGCAAAGACTAGTGACATTCAATTTGGTCGTGACCAGTGGGACCTCGCGATGATCAAGGTAGCATCCTCAAGTCGAGTTGCTTCCTTATAAAGAAATGAACACCTGGATCCTCCCTTGCGCCAGCATCCGCTACGTTCCCACTAGGGGTAGGTTTCGTGTCAATTGTATCAGACCCCAACGTTCTTCTCCGCGACGACGGCTTACTCAAGCAACAACAGGCAACTCACCACAGGCCCATTTGCGAATTGTCGCTCATGCCGGGTCCAACACCGTCGACGAGGTGGCGGACGAGCTCTCGCCGCTCGTTCCGAACACGCACATGACGCGCGTAGAACGCTGCCAAGTGCGCGCGCATTGTCGCCGGAACACTGCCACCGACGCGAAACTTGTGCTCGTGGATCGCAACAAACCGATTCCGGCTCGTCACCGACACTAGTCCACACGATCAGAAAACCAACACATTTGCGAACAAAGTTACCCGAGCACAAGGCGCCGCGGCCGTGTTCCGGCGAGGCCGAGAGCACGTCATCTCGGAACCCAGCGGCGATACCGTCACTGCAATAGAGGCTTTCGGAGCTCTTGAAGAAGAGACTGCCGTTGCTGCAAAAACCAAGCGCCTCGAGCGTCTTGACGCTTGCAAGCCGCGTCGCCATCGCAGCGGCAACGCCAGCGTAGAGCACCGCGTCTCCGAACCGAGCGAGCATTTTCCTGTCAGGTCCAAACGCGACCGTCGCATACGGCGGCAGGCGGCTTTGGAGAACCGCGGGGGCATCGGTGCTGCAGTACGCTTTTGCATATGTGCGATCCCGCGTCTCGGTGCTGAGGTACCACTCGCCCGACGGCCCAATCGCAGCGTGTGTGATGAGCCGGCCTTGGCGCTTGCACTCCATGAGCCGCTCGACCAGCGTTGCCGGCAACGACCCGTGGAACTCTTGGTCAATGGACCCGTCGTCGAGGACGTTGTTCATGACGACGACGTGCCACCGCCCTTGCACGATCGCGACAGGAATTTGCCGCCCCGGTGGTCCCTCGGCGAGGCGCGGCGGGCTGGACCAGAGGCGGTCCTCTTCGTCGAAGGTTGCCCACCCGGTGATGCCGTCATACGTCGCTTGCACCACGTACCCATCGGTGACGGGAAGGCTGCGTGACGCAGTGACGAGCGCACCGATCGGTAGCGTCACCAGCGGACGCTCGTTCGTGATGCGCGCTTCCGCGTTAGGAAACAGAGACACCTCGTACGGTGCTCGAAAGAGGAGCTTCTCGGTACTAAGCGTCACCCGATGCAGCGACGCGGTGAGCAGCCACGTGTTGGATCCTTCGAGCCGGACGTAGCTGCGCTGCGTAATGGGGTCGACGACGTGGAGGTCCGTCGAGATCACGTCGCCTTCGTACACAGCGTCCTGTGTGTTGACAGCGTCATCACTGGTCGACGGGCGAAAGTACAGCCGCGTGTACTGGGTGGCCTCGTACAAATCTTGCTCGTGGCGCACGGGAACGCGGCGCACATTCGCAGTCTCGCGGAGGAAGAGGTGCTGCAGACGATCTTCGTTTGCAGCGGCGAGCTGCAAGAAGATGTTGCCCGTGTCGAGGTCTTCGACGCACTGCGTGATGACAACAAGCTCGTTGGCGGCAAGGACGTGGCAAGTGGGCGCGAAGCGAGCGCCAAACGACGGTGGTGTAAAGAGCGACGTCGACGCGGCCACGTGATACACAAAGTAACCCATGCAAGGTTGGTGATATTGAGGCACGTCGGGTAGCTCAGGTGCGCTGAGTGAAGCTCTGTGAGATTGAGACTCGGTGATTGCTCGCTTGAGCGCGTAGTTGGGCGTGAGGACGGTCGACGGCAGTAGGCAGTTTGTGATGGGGCTCGTGTCGTGGTCGCGCAGCCAGCGGGCGATGGCCGACCGCTCGTACGAGTGGCCGTCGGCCGTCATCACCGGGTC